AAGCGAAACAAGCATAAGCATCGGTCGAACAGTTGTTGGCGTGGAGCGCGCTGGGCGTCCGGGTCGGTGTGTTGCAGCTTGATAGGGCACTATAAGGGTACTTTCCTTGAAAAAGGCGCCACGCAACATCCTTGCTCAGTGCACCGAATCCTGACCTGCTAGGCGTATTAATCCTTCAGGTTTGGGGATTTATCGTGTTACTTGCGTGTTCATGTTTCTAAAGGCAGAGCTCGCGTTCAAGAATAATGAATCCTTCACTCCCACAATCCGAAGTGGAGAGAGTTGAGGCGGAACGACCGCCCCACCAAGTAACGGTAAAAAAAGAGCTGCAAGTGAGCGAGCGGGTGACGCCTTGCTCTGCTTTTTGAGCTGCAAAACTATACATACTCTATGCTTGCAGGGAGGACGACTAATCTGAAGGAAAAGTAGGGACATCAATTGAACGCAAGCTCCGGCTACAAGTGATGGAAAAGTTGTCCGAAGCAAGTAAATACATGACCGTCATGTTAGAACGATGTGTTAGCCACAAAATTTCACCACTTGTGCTCCCACAAATAAGGGACAAAATACATTTCGCGGGCTGGAATGCTGCCCGAGTTACTATTAGAATTATGAGAGTTGTGTTAAGACTACAATCCAAGGTGTAAATATTATGCAAACTCACGCCAAACGGAAAACTTGTCCGAGTTGATGAGCACTGCCTTATGTTCTCACCAGTCTGGCTGACGCGCACTACTGCGCGCATGGTTAAACCCATGGTACTACGATAACTGACAGGATTTGTCCTGAGCACTAACACTTAGCCTAATTCCCATGTTTCGAAGACGGCCCATTTCATCATGTTTCTCCATTTTAATGAACATTTGCCAGTGTTTGGTGCCTATCATATTAAAAGCACCATTCGTTGGAGGATAGGACAGCATAGCGGTGGGAAGAATTTCGATGATAAAAAAGTCGAAAATTCCCTTTCCGGTGAAACTCGAGCGTTTAGCGGTGGAAGCAATTCCGACCGCTAAACTGAGGGATATTGCTAGGAATAGAAATTTGGCCACGATGATGTGAGCATATACGGAGTCCCAAAAGCCGTTGTCGGACACTGACAGAATTTATCTCCCACCCTGAGCACCCCTGAATTACTTGCTGGAGCAGTTCCACAGTGTTGCAACAACTCTGCTGTGAATTTTCGGGGTATCTTATCAGCTCTTATCATATCCTGCCACAAACCAATAATGGTCCCATCCTGCACACTATCTTACTACTTGTATCCAACGTCCGGTCGTTGCTCTGGCCGGTGTTATGAATTAGGTAACCCACTCTTTCTGAGGCTCCTTATGGTATCTTATCAGTGTTATCAATTCCTGCCACCCACCAATAATGTTCCCATCCTGCATACTATCTTAACTTTTACCAAACGTCGGTCGTTGCTCTGGTCGGTGTTATGGATTAGGTAACCCACTCTTTCTAAGGCTCCTCATGGTATCTTATCAGCTGTTATCAATTCCTGCCCCCACCAATAATGTTCCCATCCTGCCCCCTATCTTACTTCCTGGAACCAAAGTCTCATCGTTGCTGTGGCCCGCGCTATGAATTTGGTGATCCTCCCTTATAAGGCTGCTCGCGGTATCTTATCAGCTCTTATCAGTTCCTGCCACCTACCAATAGTGTTCCTGCACGACCCCCTACATGACTTATCAGTTTGAGCGCTCTATCGCTCTTTTGAAGGAAGTTATGAATTTCCGGTCAAACACACATACACACACCAACAGACAAACTTAGCGGATTATATATAGTAGGATTGTACGCACGTGATAACAAAATAACATTCAGTGCTCTAATCCCCGGAAGAGGGTCAGTCTCGTCGAACAATTTGTCCTTCATTGTTAGTTTCGGAGACAGTCAGTTCATCTATGTAAAATGTGAGAAAGAGTTGAAGAGTTAGACGCAGGTAAAGAACACATAGATCTATGCGATGACATGGTTCTCGTCTATTCTGCGACTGTAATAAGAGTATCCTCAATGGGGTAACTCAGCGTACGGTGTGACATGCTTCTGTCTATGATTCACAAACTGTGTGAAAATTCTCTTTTTAGAACACTTATTCCAGGTGTTCCATTGAACTACGATCCATGGGTGATTATTCTTATAGCTGGGCCATCAGCAGCCCTCATGAAATCGGGATGTACGATCACAACAGCAATTGCCATCGACCGAGTGTTAGCGTTGTATTTCCCAGTACAGTATTATCAGCATTCGAAACGACTGTAAGTTCAATGTTATAAAGTCCTATTCGTAATGAGATGGGATCCCTCATTGCGGTAGTTGCATGAATTCACTACATGACAGGTCCAGTGTGATATACTACGATTTGAAATGGAGCTATATGTACTAATCCTTTTGCCAGCAAAGGAGTTACGAAAAATTGCTGTAGAAGTAGTTGGAGTGGAGTGGCACATTGCGGCACCACTTCACAACTACGCGATTGCCATGTAATCTGAGACAAAAAAATCAGTTTTGAATACGAACTTGGCATATGAATGCACTCCAATCTCCGTTAAGGAAGGATATATATTATCTGAGTAGAAGTGGCAAGCTGCAGGCACCGTAGCGTGTTTCACTACCCCAAAGATTGTCCGCAAACAGGGCATCCATTATCAAGGTTGACTTTCAAGGTAAGGTAGAAGGGAACATGGTGCCTGGACAACTTCTTTTAAGATTCAGATTCAACTGTGAC